AGATTAAAGCTTCATTTATATACATATCTCGAAGAATTCTCGAGGAAATGATATATAGAGAAGCACGTTCAAAATATTAGTTCATTCTACGTATCTTGAAGAATTCTCAAGGAAATGATATATAGAGAAGCACGTTCAAAATATTAGTTCATTCCCTAAGACCCAGACAGGATGATATGCAACTATATACAAATTTAAGTTCCAAAATTTAATGAGTATCATCAGGATAAATGATGGCTAAGAGCTGGAAAATTTTAGCCATCCATTCCAGGGATTTGGAGATCCATAAAACAATCTTCAAACTTGTAGGGAGACAAAAAGTTCAGTTTAGGGCATTACTTAATGATGGAAGTAGATTGCAGCTTCTTGCACTGTACCTTCTAAAACAAAATGAATTTTTTTTGATAAAACATAAGAGAAAATCAAAATACTTACAGTACCGTTAATAAATCCAGTTCCAAAATCCACAAAGAAAAGTCATTTTCTCAAACAGATGTTCATCATAACAAGACTACAGTAGACTTTGAGAAAGAAATAATGCCCAACATGATCAAATATAGAATAATTGATGGAGGTGATACCCAAACAGATAGTCTGTAAAAAATGAAAACTATTAACTTCCTAAAGCATACAGCCAAATCACTTTACACACAATTTATGAAAACGGAGCAACAGTGATGTGATACAGGGACATTTCTTTTGGACATTTCTATCATCTGTACTAACGGAGCAACAGTGATGTGATACAGGGACATTTCTTTTGGACATTTCTATCATCTGTACTAAAAGTGCTTCAAAATATTAGTGCATGTCCCAGAAAAGATGTGCAACTAAGTTTCAAAATAATCCTTGGGTTCATGAGGATATATGATGGCTAAGAGATAGAAAGCTTATTACCCATCCATTCTCCATAAAACAAGCATCAAACTTGTGTGGAGGCAACAAGTTCAGTTTAGGGCATTGACTTACTGATGGAAATAGTTTGCAGCTTCTAAAACAAAATGGATTTTTTTGATAAAACAGAAGAGAAAATTAAAATACTTATAGTAGCGTTTATAAATCCAGTGGTAAAATCCACGAAGCAGTCATTTTCTCAAACACAGGTTTAGCATAACAAGACTACAATGGACTTGGAATAATTGATGGAGGTGATACCCAAACAGATAATGAAAATTATTAACTTGCTAAAGGATACAGCCAAATGATTGAGGAGAAAGGTATGGACATTTCTTTTGGACTTTTGAAGACGAAATTGCACTTACCTCGTATTGCTTTACGCTGGAATCTCCACTGTTGCTGCTGGTAGTGACGGAAAGGTAGGTGGTTTTGGTGGTTGTGATGGCTGCTGGTAGCCAATCTCTTTAGCGTCTTTTTACTATCTCGAGAGAAAACAAGGGCTACAATGAATTCGGCATTTCGAAATTGTCGGGAATAGATA